AATAATAATGATAATAATAATAATAATACATATAAATATAATGATGATAATAATAATAATAATAATAATAATAATAATAATACATATACATATACATATACATATACATACCGTATGCAACTTTAATAGTTTGCTGAACACACAGTTACTCTGTAAATCTGCCCTTATATATCAAGCATTTTTGCATTGATTGTGTTTTTTTAATTATTGCTGCATCCCAGCTTATTTCAAAAGAAAGGGGATGATAATCTTGAGTGGGGTAACACTACTAAATTTCTAAGGTAATATTACTGATTTGAGCTTTTGTAGAGGTCAACTCTTGATCATCAAAGTTTTAATATGACCCATCTTCAAGAGTATAGATTTAGACACTATGTTCACTTTTTAATCCAAAGCAGGATCCTCTGTCCCTTTTTCTCTACGTTGACCTGCCCCTGTCCTGCGTGTTGACAAATCCGAGCTGATACGAACAGAATGTATCTTAAAGACACTTTTTTTGCACTTGCAAAGCAGATGTGATAGACAAACCAAAGGCACTGTGAGGGAGGATCAGAACACCTCCACAGACACCCTCTGGCAGAAACAGTAACACAGATTAGGCTGGAGGGACACAGAGTACCATTTAAACAACAGTCAGTGTGTTTATACCACACTCAGCCTTTTCATCACGTAGCCCTCTGCAGGATTACTCATGCCCCCTATTTTTAATGACTGGTATGCTTTAAGGCTGTTGTACTGCTTAGATCTGCTAACACCCATTTTGATGAAACCCATTCACAGTATGAGGAAGCTATTTTTGGATTTTATGGATGGGTGAATGTAACTTAGGGATGTGCACCTGTGATGTCTTGGATGTCTTGATGTCTCGGCTTTCATAGTTTAAAGTCCTGAGCGATCTTTGTCATGCAAACTAACTCAGGATTTCATTTCAAATGAATAACTCAGTAACTTCACATTACTCTTCTTGAAAACCTACAGTTTTATAACATTATTATTATTATATTATATAGATTTTATATTAGGGGAGCAGAAGACGAAAGAAAGAGAGAGTGAGAGGAAGACATCCATCTAGTGTGGCACAACACTATTCAGCTCTCTGACCACAGAGGTCTTCAGGGACGAGCTGCTGTCTGAACCAGTTTTATTCTCCACTGATGAACGTCTACACCTTCGGTTACTTCTTAGTGAGAAGAAAAAAGGTTTCACATTGTATTATATATATAATCATTCTTAATGAATGATATAAGTAATGAACCACAGGCATTTGCAGTCAAATAATTTACACATATTTGTCTAAACATTTGACTGAAAATTATTAATATACTACAAACAAGCAGTGGATTAATCTTACTCTAATATACTTTATTTACACTGTTCAGTGATCTTTGGAAGATAAACTCTTGGGAACATTCGAAACACTTGATCAAAGCTGTATGAATATTTATAATCCCATGAAATTTCTTTATAAATAAGAGGGAAAACATCTGAAAAAGTAATTCTAATCAAAAGACAATGATGGTTATGGTTATACATAAGTAGTACATGTATATACTACTGTATGTGTACAGTTCAGCAAAGTTCCAGTTGATAAGTTTGGCATCATTCCTGGCCAAAGGTCACTTACACAACTAAATAATTAAAGATGCAATTCCCTTTTTGTTCAAACACGGCTTTGGATTGATTCAGTGTTCAGCAGCAGCTGGGAATGTTAACCCTTTCAAGGATGACTAAGTCCAGAACAATAATATTTATCCTACTCCTGGTTTATGTGAATATACCTGCACTGTATTCCTGCACTTGGCTTGACTCAATTGTGTATGTTTTGGTACTGTAGTTCTTCATATATCCAGTAACCACATATATAGGTTACTCATAATGTTGCTTTTTTAGTAGTTTTGACAACAAAATAAGGATGTCTGTCAACTGTCTTGGGCTGTTAGGAAATTGATTCTGGGAGGGAGGTGTTTGCTACTGGCAGAGTGGATACAAGTAGAAGATGTATAAGGAATGATGAGTAATCATTATTGTTAGTGTATATGTTTTAAGGAGTGAAGAGAGTAATTCACATGAGAAATACACAGATAATATAAAGCTTTGTCCAAAATTTTGTATCTGTGCCAAAAAAGGGTAGGTAGGTTCTCTTGAACGTTGCAGTAACGTACTACAGACTCACACACACACGCATACACACCTATACACACACACACACACACCCCACAAAGACTTCTTTCTGGTAAGTAGTGTTATTCTGGTTCCAGACTTCATGCAGGTACAGTGTCCAGTCCAGAACAGCAGGGTTGCTTTCAGCAGCACATATTCACACTTTCTGTGGATTGCATTGCCATGGTAACGGTGCCAAGGCAGACAGAACTCTGATGCTTTTTTTTATATATATATATAAATATAATTCAAAAGACCCATTAAGAATGAGGTGAAGTGCTGTTTGGGTCCTTTGATTTATTCCATCTTTAATTTTCCTGAGGTATGTGTACTTAAGTTTTACGCCTCTGGCTCCAGCAAAGCCAGATGTTTTGGTCTGCTGTGGTGCTAAGTCCAGTTTCTCCCTCTCTCTCTCTCTCTCCCTGTACAGCGAACATGTTGGACACCATGCTGCTGAAGAACGGATGGAAGGGAGGATTGGAGCGAAGGGTGGAAGAGAGCAGCAGCATGGCCACAGTTTCAGCTCAGAACATGCTTTGGTGTCACTGCTATCACCACTGCCCCGAAGACTCTGTCAACAATACGTGCATGTACGTTAAAGCACACACAGAACTATCTTCACACACAGATTCACACTAGCAGACTATGAAAGTAACTCTCTATAAAGCTATTAAATGACACCAAATACACCAAACTTGTAGCTGACAAGTTTGAAAATAAAATACAATCTGGATGTATTAAAAGAATTGAGCTTACCTTCTGTAGCCGGCACCTCATCTCTGCTTAAGGCTAGTGGTTCAAGGCTATATTAGCAGCTACTAGCATACCACACCTGAATCTTTACCGTCGAATGAAGTCAAGTCAAGTCAAGTTGCATTTTGGGAGATCTAGGCACCAGGTTTTAAAGAGGGAGAAGAATGTGTGTAATTAAAAAGACAATATCTCCGGTTCTGCTACATTGATTTTGATACTTAAATTGTCTATTGTCCACCAATGGGCTCACACCAGAGTGTAGTGCTAAATAGGTGGAGTAATCTTTTAATCGTGGCTTTGGCTTAACATGTAATCAATCCAACAAAATGAGTTATTGTTCCTGAATATATACAGTTTTAGACCTTTTATTATAATAATTGAAGAATAAATAGATTTGAAAAGGATTTATTTTAATCAGCCATTTCAGTGCTCCAGTTCAGTTAAACACTTTTGAACCCCCAGCACCTATGTTGTTGAAGACAATGATAAAAAGACTCCCAGGCAATGTTTACTCATATGATGATGTATGTGCATTTTGGTAGGACTGACGGTTACTGCTTCACCATGGTGGAGGAGGAGGAGGGGGGCCTGGCAGTACTCACTGCAGGTTGTTTGGGTCTTGCCGGCTCCGAGTTCCAGTGCAGAGTAAGTCCGTTGTATGTGTGTATATTTCTGCCTGGATGAATACTCGCACTTGCCTGTGTATGTGTGTCCTTCTTCATGAGCCGTTGTTAAGTCTTTATGGGCTTTCCTTTTGACTCACTGCAGCTCTTTATGAGACCTATTTAAATCAGACTTGCCCAGCCCTGCTATCTTTACACAGAGTGAAAAAATCTTTAGTATATTGTAAAATGTTCTCATTAGGAATAAGTGTGGCTGTGAATATTCGTTACTCTTGTGTCTTCATTAGTGTTCTGTGAAAATGCATGTGGCTTACGTGCATGTGTGTGTGTGATAGGACACGTGGAATGCGCGTTCGAGGAGAGCTCTTGAGTGTTGCACGGATCAAGACTATTGTAACAGAGACTTGCATCCTACTCTCCCTCCACTCGTGACGTCAGGTAAGAGACATACACACACACACACACGCACAGACATTCTCGTTCACACAGGTTTTCACACACTGAAATCCTGCCTCACTTTAAAGCGCGAGGGGCTTTCAGAACAGGGCTCATTCAGGCCACGCCGGGTGGTGATGGGTAGTGACAGTTTAAACTGTTACAAACCACAGTGTGGTGCTGCAGTGAAGTGGCACATGCTGCTCCAGGCGGGGGGCAGGGGGAGAGAGAAAGAGAGAGGCAGGTGAAACAGAGCCTGCAGTCTTGGCTTGTTCTCTCACCCTCTAATGAAAAGGACAGCCTCTCCCCGGGGCCTGCTTGAGTTTCTTGCCTCGGGACGGATGCGAGATATCTGTCCATCTGTTACTCCGCAACACACCAATACGCACACACATACACACTATCTTGCTCTCTCTCTTTCGCTCCCTGTCTCTGTCACACAAACTTGCACTTTTAGATAGCCTCACACAATCCGTTTTGACCTTCAAGCAAACAGTGAAAAACTGATTTGTCAAGTCAGTTGGAGAGAAATAAAGTCAGTCAATCATTCCAGTTTTTCATAGTTTTGGCCATCATTTCTATCAGCTACAATAACACTGTACTCACCAAAGTATTCACAGAGATCTGAGAAAGTGGCAACATTGTTTGCAACAAAGTCAGACGGGGCAAGAAAAAAGATGTCAGGTAATCAGATGGGTCCTAAACAAGCCAGCCAATATTAAAACAACTTTATTTAGAGTAGTGAGTGCACCTGAAATGTTTATAATAATCTCTCATTGCACAGGAATTCTGCACCACTGAGAGTTACTAGTCAATGCTGAACCAGGAAGTCAGTCTGTTAAGTGTGAAGGATGTTTACAACCAACAGTTTTGGTAACAATTTTACTGTCTGCCTTTGTTTTCTCTTCCGAAAAGGTTTGCTTAAAGCCATCATTTTACTGTATGAACTTGCAGGGGAGTTCATTGGACACTCTGCTGTTCATGCAGTTTTTCTTTGTCCATGTGTCCATCTTACTGTGTGTGTGCGCGCTTCTGTGCACATCATGAAGCATCCGCTGTGTTCCTGCGTCTGTGTTTGTGTGTGTCTGATTGGCAGGAGCACGGCAGAAAGACTAGAGCCCCAGAGCTGCTGCAGGCCTCTGGGGTTTCTGTAGCGATGTCAGAGTGACAGCTGATCTGTGGGATTCAGGAAGGGGATGTGATCGATCACACGCTGTGAGGGTGGGGGCGTGCAGGGAAGGGTTAGAGGGAGGAAGGGGAAAAGGAGCTTGTCCCTGCCAATGAAAATTAGAAAGATGTTGGATGAGATTACAATGAACAAATGACTGTCACCCCCTATTCATCACTAATTTTACAGACTTTCCATCTCCCTTAGGACATGATTATTCACAGTTAGAGGTGTTAAAATGATAATAATGACATGATAATATTAATACTTGTTCCTGTTGTTTTAGATTATGTTGACAGCAGTATCCAGTACATGGCACTCTTCATTTCAATCACAGTCTGTAGTATCATTCTGGGTCTCATCCTCGTCTTCTGCTACTTCAGGTAAGAATCTTGACATTCCACTCGGGAATCAACGAATTCACTTCCTGACGTGCAGTTAATAAACATCGTGTCACCTTTCTGTGGCAGATATAAGCGCCAAGAGTCACGGCCACGTTACAGTATCGATCTGGAGCAGGAGGAGACCTACATACCCCCAGGGGAGTCCCTGAAGGACCTAATAGAGCATTCCCGCAGCATCGGGTCAGGCTCTGGGTCAGGACTCCCTCTACTGGTAAGAATAAATCAGTGCACATCTGCCTCAGCATCTCAACCTCAGCTCTCATTGAACAGTAATACATTGTTTTATTCTTTCACTTAGGGCTGGGTGATGTGGATGGAACCAGTTTTATGCTATTATTATGAATATTTTTTAGATTTGACTAATTTTACAGTACAAACATATGCTGTGTGCCAAATATATACAAAACTACCACAAAAATAATCACATTCTGAGTGCAATAAACTCTCTGCATTACGTTAGACACATCATTACATTAAAGCTATTCACACATGTAAATCTTCAGTAACTAATTGTACTTTTTAATCACAATTTGTCTAGAATCATTTTGTAAGAATGTTGTAAAGCAATAACCAAATATAATATCATATAAATCCAACATGATTCCCCTGAATGTCCTTACACAATAATGCTAATTTATCACCCAATCGAGACAAATGGTCCACATAACATAAAACATTGAAATGGCATAATAGTATTTTTTAAAACCTGTTTCCAGGTGCAGCGCACAATAGCCAAGCAGATTCAGATGGTTAAGCAGATTGGAAAAGGGCGATACGGAGAGGTCTGGATGGGCAAGTGGAGAGGAGAGAGAGTGGCTGTTAAAGTCTTCTTCACCACAGAGGAAGAGAGCTGGTTCAGAGAGACTGAAATATATCAGACCTTCCTGATGAGACATGACAATATACTGGGTAAGGTCATATAAAGGGAGCCTTGAAAAGGGTTTATGTGTTGGTTTGTTTGAAAAGCGACCCAAATCAAGTGTCTGTGTTATTTTCCATGTCCATGCATGTTTCTCATTCCTCTCATCCCTTCTTTCCAAACTTCAGGATTCATAGCAGCAGATATTAAAGGAACTGGCTCATGGACTCAGCTCTACCTAATCACAGATTACCATGAGAATGGATCATTATACGACTACCTCAAGTCCAACACCTTAGACATCAAGGCTCTGCTGAAACTGGCCTACTCCTCCATATCAGGACTCTGTCACCTGCACACTGAGATCTATGGCACACAAGGCAAACCAGCCATTGCACACAGAGACCTGAAGAGCAAAAACATCTTGGTAAAAAAGAACGGATCTTGCTGTATAGCAGACCTTGGACTTGCTGTCAAGTTTAACAGGTACAACATACATTTTGGACTTCTGAACACTAATTTTAATACAGTTTAGGTATATCTTGGAGATTTCAGTTCAATTCAGTTACATTTTTTTAGTTATCTCAAGACACTTTCTAAAAAGAGCAGGTCTAGACCATACTTCTTTATTTTCCTAAAATATCTTAATGTAATATTTCTGTTTCTTCTCCCTGTGTTAGTGACACCAATGAGGTGGATATCCCTCCTAACCTACGAGTTGGTACAAAGCGCTACATGCCGCCTGAAGTGTTGGATGAGACCTTGAATAGGAGCTACTTCCAGTCTTTTATAATGGCTGACATGTATAGTTTTGGCCTCATCGTTTGGGAGATGGCAAGACGTTGCATCTCTGGAGGTCAGGAAAAATCTGTTTTTATTTCAACGCAATCTTTACGTGTCTAGATGTTTTCTTAATGATTTTACTGATTCCCACATATATCTTGTTTCTATGTTTCCTGAAGGCATTGTGGAGGAGTATCAGCTGCCCTATCATGACCTCGTGCCCACTGATCCTTCTTATGAGGACATGAGAGAAGTTGTCTGCATTAAGAAACAAAGACCTTCATTTGCTAATCGCTGGAGCAGTGATGAGGTATTCTAAATGATTTTCACTACCATTTTCTACTAATGCATAGCTTTAAAGACTTTAAGAAAGAGCCATTAAAAAGAACACCTGGTGTTGCCTGGTTGGGAAAAAATCTGTTTGGTTGGTATATAATCTCCTACTACAGTTATTAGAAAGTGAGAAAGTCATTAGTGTTCTCACATAATGAAAACCCATCAGGTCTGCAGCCATAAATACTAATGAGTCAGTTCTCTCTGATTATTTAAAGACCAGTAATGCTTGAGGATACATACCTGCCAAAGGGATTTTTTCCAACTTGCAAACCCCAGAGTTGGAGAGTTGTTTTTATAAATGGTTTATAATTAATAGTTAGTTAATAAATCCATTTATCCCAACTTGCAAACCCTTGCAAACTTTGCAAAATGTATTGCTGTATTCTTATGTATATGTACATGTGTGTCTTCAGTGTCTGCGGCAGATGGGAAAACTGATGTCAGAGTGCTGGGCTCACAACCCGGCCTCCCGCCTCACAGCCTTGAGGGTGAAGAAGACCCTGGCGAAGATGTTAGAGTCCCAAGACATCAAACTGTGACAGAGAGTCAAGAGAGATTCTCTCATCAGCAGAGACTTGTCACTGCCACTGGCACAGCGCCACTTACACTGGCCAATAGAAGAAAGGGAAAAAAAAAGAGACTGTGAATGATAGGACAAAGGAAACGGACAGGGAGGGTGATTGATAGAGATAATGGTCGACTGGGAGCCAGACAAATGAAAGGCAAAAAGATTTATTATGTCAGGGGAGATCTGCCCTCCCATTTTCTGAGCCAGGTCTGCCTCAGACCAAGTGTTCAGGTTGTGCTTTCTGTGAAAGCTGAGCGGTTATAGGTTCCAGACTGTCCAGGTAGGCAGGCGGACAGGGACCCTTGCAGGAGAGGAGGACTAAAATCCCTCTGATCAGTTCTAAAAGAGGATGCTCCTGCTCTGCCCTTTTAAAGCCATATAGCAGTATTCTATGTACAGTCTTTTGTACTGTCGCAGCTGCCTTCGTGATTCTTTTATTTTTATTCAGTCACCGTCATCTTCATACATAGTGACTGTCATCCATCCAAAGAAATGTCTAATTTGCGCTCAGTGACCTCATTGTCAATGACTATTATTATTATTATTATTATTACAGAAAAATGTTGAGTAAGACTAAATTAACTAAGAAATATCCAGCAGAAACAGATAACAGATTTTTCTATATAGTATTCCTATGTACATTTTATTTCAATATTAAAAGATGACCTCTGGGTAAAACATGTCATTGATGAATTTGTGAATTGTGGTTGTCCTTCAGGCCTTCAGATCTGAGAGTGAGCTCTCCTTCTTCTGTCTCTTCTTTCTACTCACAATTCATTTGTACATAGCTAAACTGAAATCTATTGATAATTATTGCCTTGCTGGATGTTAAAATGTGTTTTTGATGATTTATCTGTGTACAGAATATGTCCCATCCACTCTACCACTATGGCATGTGCCTTATTTAATCTGTACATATGTGATTACTGAGTGTATGAGTGGATCTGGATAACATTCCCCAATTAAAACTGTGTCTTGAAGGCTTGTCTATTTATGTTGAACACTGCTGTAAGATTAATGTTATTACCGGTAATCTCACAATTCAAACAAATGAGATCCTCATGCTCCAGGTTCAATGTTGCATATAAATATAATTTATTATTAGTCTTAAAAATTCTTTCTTACACTTTGTACAATAACTTGACAGATGAAATGCAAGCAGTTGCGAGGAACATCATGAGTGCCAGAAACAGACAGGCTACATTCTCACTATACACAATAATAATCATGAAGCTGAAGAACAACTAGGGAATGCAAAGGCTAGCCCACTGAGAATGTAAAGATTGTTTCAGAAAGATGCAAAGTTTGCATAGACGGCTTTACGAAAAACTGGGACAACTGCCATAAAAATAAAAATAAAACGAGAACCAACCAAGAACACTTTCACAAGTGCTGCTGCATCAAAGGAATGTTGCATTTACAACTATCACTATTTTTTATGCACAGTCAGTGTCATCGTAACATTGATGGCTTCTGTCGTTGATGTACAAACACAGAAGTCTGAGTTAAAATCTCAGTTCTCCTCCAAAATCACGATGAATGCCATTCACCTTTTGAACCCAAGAAATGACATTTGATAATTAGATGATCAACTTCTGTATTGAATTTAACCTCATACACTGTATGTCAATTATTTGGTAAAAAGCAGTTTTATTCAGTTGCATTGGTCCTATAAAAATATACTTATTTCATTCCCTTTTCTACAGTATCTACCTCTCCTCTCTGCCTGGTCTCTTTAATGTAGATGATATCATCTTGAACAACATACAAATCATCAGCATCAGTCATGAACTTTATTCAGTTTGAGAAAATGGTCTTGATAACCCCCTATTTATGGGTAATAGACTGGTGAAATTAGCCAATTGACCTGGTAAAAGACATGCAAAAAAAGAAAGTAAAGAAAAATCATAACCAATGCAACTTAACAAAATATTTTTAAGACTTAAAAAAAACCTGTAAAACAAGTGCACATAATTGAAAACTAATAATTATACATAACATGAATAAAAATTATTAATAGTAGTTATGACAACAACACTAAAACTTTAAAATGATTACATCATTGATTCCCTTCTGTACATGTAAATGTGGCTGACAGGATAAGTCATTACTGCAAGTGACCACCAGGAGGTGCTATGATACAGTCAAACATAATGAGAGAAGAAACAAGAAATGTGAGGACACTGCAAAGTATTCCATTACAGGCAGCATAAAATACAAAAAAAGATATGTATAAATAGGCATATTATTAAATACTATGTTATCACAGAACACATACTCGTCCATGGCGTTGCTATGGAGACTGATTTTGGAGAGTGAGAGATGCTTCCTCTGATCCAAGCCTTGCTCTTTTGATCCTTTGACCTCTGATAGTGGCTCACAACTCACACTGCTGTCTATGGCAAGGGCATCCACATATCCGCGCAGTCCATCCAAATAACCGGACAGCTGTTTCCAAGGAAACTAGAGCCAAAAATATCAAGTCGTTGTACCAGAGAGAGAGAGAGAGAGGAACAGGGAGAAATGACTGGCAGAGATTCTTGTTTACCCTCCAAGTTTTTACACCCTTTGTTGCCAATGTTTAACTGGGTCATGGCTGAGTAGACCAAGCTGTTTTTTATCGTCATTACTTCTGAGTGTTCACACACGCAGTTATCTGTGGGTGTGTATTTGCATTTGTCATTGTTCCGCCAAATGACTCTCCTTCTTTCGGGCGTCCCCCTCTATTTATTTTTTTTGTTATGTCTTCTTCCTCCCTGGAATGTTGCACTCCCTGGTGGGCAGATGTCAGTGTTCAGTCATTGCAGGAACAAGGCTGTCATGGCGTCCCATCTCCTCCAGCACCTGGGCCAGGCGACTGAGGTTGCCATCAGGAAAATGCTGGGCCTCCCACAAGTCCAGGATCACTCCCGTAGGACTTGATTTGGTGGCAAAATAGTTAAGATACCTGAATGAATGATTGCGACAAAACAGAGAAGGATGGGTTAGAAAAAAGGGAGTAAATGGTTAACAGAGATGAATGAGTTTACTTGGATTAGAAGACAGGACTCAACTGGTGTGCCGACATGGTTTGAAAAATGATTCACTATTTGTAAAGGTTATGCAAACATTTCAGTCTCTTCTTATGTATATGCTTAATGTAACATAGACATGACAGGAAGTTGTGTGTGTTTATGGGCACTGATTTATATTCCTATTTGTATTTGCTATGCAAGAATCAATGATCTTTGACCTTTCATTTTTTTAAAGGACCCAATTGGTTGAAAACTGACTTTCATCTGCATTTCAAGATTCCTGCTGCAAGAAGATACTATTTTTTGTAGAGTTTTCTTGCCACAAGCACAGCACAGAAAATGTACTTGATATAAAGTTAAGAGAAAAGTGGGGGGGGGCTATGCGAATGTGCTGCACCTTAAATAAAAAAAAATGAACTTTTAGAGCATTTTATATTATTATATAATATATATTATATTTCACACAGATATCTTTTTGGTCACAAAGTGTTTGATATTCAAAATAAACTCAAATAAAAAACCCGAAAAATTAAAAACTAATGGGCCCCATGTTTTGTTCTGTATGTATCATCACTGTGAGTTGTGAACGAGAGGTTGGTTCAAGTCTCTCTCCTTCACTCTCCTTCCTTTACGCCACACTCTGTCAGTGGTCTCGTCAATCTGCAGCTGCTGCCTGTGATAAGGCCGCCCCGCTGAGCTGGGACCTTACAAATGGACACACACTGCACCTCCATCATACACACACACAAGGCTATCAAAGACACATGGGTGACGTTTTGAAAAGAGAAGCGTCATTCTATCTTCGTCTCTCTCTCTTCGTCTCTCTCTCTTCGTCTCTCTCTCTTCGTCTCTCTCTCTCTCTCTGTCTGTCTCAGTTCAGCCCGGCTCAGTTAATCTCACTTCAACAGATGCTTATCGAAATGAGTCACACAGAACAAAATCAAAAATCAAATTAAAAAAAGGATTGTTATCTATATAACATCCAATGTGAGCTTGTTGCCTACTTCTACTGAATTAACTAAATAAAGTATTTGGCAGCTAAAATTGCACATCAACATATTTTTGAAAAATAGGCAGAATGTGTATTTTGTTAAAACACATCACTCTTATTCCTTTATTTCATCTCTTTCATTTTTCCTTTTCAGAAAGAGCAAAAGCCTGTTGACAGCCTGTTCCTGCAGTCAGACTGTAACCACTCAGGGCCTAAATGTGAGTCACTGTCTCACTCCTTTTCTTTCTCTCAGACAGACCTGTTCCTCCACCCACCTGTCAAGGTTAAGTTTGTGTGCCAACATCCTCCAGTCATTCCCCCTGGTCTGTGGCGCGTCCAGACTGCCACACAACTTCTGTCTGATGGAGACAGGGATACGGAAGGCATTGGGCCCCACCAGTGTGGTGATGTTACTGGCGGGATCCAGCAGAGACGTGTCAATACTTTGGGAATCCTGAAGAGAGAGAGAGAAAGAGAGAGGGAGAGAGAGGGAGAGAGAGAAGACAGAGAGGTTGAAAAAGAGACACAGAGTGTAGCAGGCTGCAAACATAATGTAGCTCAAATGGATTTGTAGGACAGTAAATATCTGTTTTTGGGTTGTGTAAAAAGTGGAAATAATTCATTTTATTGCCATCCGTTTATTGATGCAAGCTGAGTGATTTTCAAATATATTGCATCTGGAGGATTAAGTACTGGAGAGGTCTGGCAACAGAAACCAGAGCAAGACCCAGAGACAAATGAGCCAAGGCCAGGCAGGGATACAGCTCAGCACTGCATGTACTGTAATTCGTCTCATTACTGAGCACAAAGCCTGTGTGCTTCTCCATCCCTCAAGCTCTATTCTCCTGGCCAGATGGCCTTTGTGAAGCAAGTACAGTACGACTAGAGGATGATTATTTCCCCTCTGTTCTGCATTGGCCTGTCATAGGCAGGACTATATGAGGCTGCAGGGTCGAGATTCTGTGTCGTCCACCATGCTATTCTTTGTGAACATTGCAAAAAGAGGGAAGAGGACATGGAAGAAAGAGTAAACTTAAAGAAGTTCCCTCACAACTGAGAGATAAAGGAGCGTAAGGTGGTGGAGGAAATGCATTATCTTTGAAGCAAAAAGTCAGGTGACAAGATCGATTGATTCCTTAATGACTTTTTTAAATAGTTGTAAATTAAATGGAAGAGTTAGTACAAGTATCGACCCTACCTCTGACAGTGTAGTGTCCAGCTGAAAAATCTGTCCTTCTCCCTCCACTTGGCGCACACATATCTTACAGGCCAGGTCCACAGTGCTGGCAGAGAACCGCTCCAGGGTAAAGCAACAGTGGAGGTTCCTCTGTGAACCGCACCACACTTGCTGAAAGGAAAGCTCCTGCAGAGAGGGGAAAAGAGTATTTACTCAGCTGTCAGACGAAAAATGCTTTAGTCCTCTTACTGAAAAGGGTGTATGAGCAGTTTACCTGGTACTTGGCTAGAAGTTTGCTCTTCCACAATGTGTGGGGGACATCATGGATGGAAAGTCTCAGGTTGTGGGTGCTGTCTTTAAAGTTGAGAGTCTTTGGTTCGTCCAACAACTTCCCACCCATTTGCTTCTCCATCTGCAGAACTTCCTGAACACACAAACACACACTTTTGGTTCAGTATATGAAAACAAATTTGTCTGCTTCTGTGCTGCTGTAAACTGTTGTTATATCTTGTTTGCTTCAGCAGTTTCTTGCAAAAGCTCTAATGTACACTTACAAATAAAATGTTTTTTATAGTATATTCATCAAATTCCCTCGAGGCATTATGAACCTGAATCTGGACTTGCCATCTGAAACCAACTTCAATGTCCTTGCAGCAGGATCACTATCACTTCTCATTACCCATTCCCAAACTTAATAACCGTGTTTAATATCCCTGCTCAGTATAATAATCCTTCCTTATCTTTCGTCCATGTAGGTAGACGGAGGTATTAAACAGAAGCAGACAACAGTAGACTCAGGGATAAATGTGGCTT